ATTTCTTTGTTATTCGTTTAAAATGGTATTATGAATCAGAGCAAATTAAAAGTTTTGTTCATGAATTAATTCAAGATGATTTAATACTTCGAGAATATATTGGTGATGGATGTATTCATTCGGCAATGCTTGAAATTGATAAACAAGTTAAAGTAGAACATGTGACTTATGTTTCTTATGGTCACAATTTGCATGTGATGCCACTGGGATACGTGGAAGTATTTTTTCATGTAGTAAATGCATTGCATGATGAGATGAACAAATCATGTCAACAACTGATAGTACTCCAGGGTATTGAAGGCAAAGTAACAAGAATTGAAATGTCCTGAGAAGTTAAGTTTATTTAAAATAAAATACAACATCTTTTTTTTATTGTAATTTTCGAGTTGTTCAATGTGCTTTTCGTGTAATAATGATTTTTTCATGACAAAACTAAAAGTCTTAGTTTGTCAAAAAATAATCAGATCGAAACTCAAATCTGAGTTTCGACCGAACCATACACAAACAGTAGTCAAAAAGTTCTGGCAACAGCTGTGTAAAATTTTGTCTACATCGTTTTTATTTCTGATGTTGGTTTATTCTGATAGCGGCGTCGGGTATGTACTAAGCTATCAATACGAATTTTCACAAGTTTGTATTAAGGCAAAATCTATATAGATTTTTTTAGGCATCTCTATTTTTAGATGGAGAAACAGTGCAAACATTTATATATAAAAACTTGGTTGTTCTTAGGTTTAACCGCTACACAAATGCATGATGATTTAACTGCTACTGATGAATAAAGTGTGTTTTCATATCGTAGAGTTTCTGATTGAGTTTATTGAATTTCAAGTGATTGAGAATCTTTGCAAGATGTTCCTCAAAGTGATCGTCCAATAACTGCTATTAATCAACAAAATGTTGATGCTACTAAAGATCTAGTGAATACTGAACCATATATTGGTATTCATTATATTATGTCACCATCATAGATAGAGTTATCACATCAACCATCGTGAGAAACAGTTCAAGATATTAGTCAAGGATTTCTATAAGAAAAATAATATCGTCAACAACAAATAGCATAAATTTGCGTTCTAAAAACGCAAAATCACATCTGCAAGAGTCATAGAGACTGCTTCGAACTTTTACTGAAAACAGATATTTTCGATTGAAGTTTTCAGTTAAATATCAGATAAACTTGACAGCTAAATTAGACCTTTTAAAAGTGCCTGAAGGACTGAATACAAACATATAGATGAAGAATCTATTCATTAATTAAATGTAAAGAAAACACAGAAAAACCAGCTATTACAATATTGTCATCCACTGTTTTCAATCTCATTCTATTGAGACAATAAGTCACAAGAATATTCGGCTTACAGAGCTAAAAATTCCCAACAAACTCATATGTCAACCAGCTATCTATTTTTCGCCGTTGACATTTTCTCAGTTTTTTGGAACGAATTCAAGCGAAATAGTTGCTGTATACTGTTCATCTGCTCTTACAATTTTCTTCTAGGATAACATCCGTTCGAAAAGTGTGATGGTCTTTGTGACATCTTGCTACAAAAACAAAAATCGCATAATTTCGATAACCGAGAATGACGACATTATTTTAACCGATCTCGATCCTCTGCTCTTTTCAAATTTGTTCAATGAAAAGACTTTAAATCCATACGTTTGTATTCAGGTTCTAACGAGCTTTCAAATATTGAAGTTGTTCATCAAGTTTAACTGATATTTTAACGAAAACTCCAATCGGAACTGTAGTTTCAAACACTTTTACAGAAGTTTTTATTCTATTATTAAAATCGATTGTTTTCTCAAAGAAAATCAGACTTATAGAAAAAGCTCTCTTCATACTATTTGATGATGTGTTTTGAGAAAAAAGAATCAAAAGTGGAAACGTAAGTAAATTCTAATCTGATAATAAACTTCTCAATTCGTCATAGTAGAAGAAAATCATGATTTTCAAACGATAATCAAAAGCTCGGACTTTTATAGAAGTTATAGAAGGAAGCATGGCCTATCTATCGGTGAATAAAGAAAAACCACATACTGCTTTTAGTGCGTAAACCGAACAAGCAAAACATAATTATCATCTTCTAGACACTTCTGTGACTACCTGCATCTTCTGTAGAAAATTTTTGGAATTTTCAAGCATTTTCTCCTACATTTCAGATATTGGCACACAATTATAGAAAATGTTACTTCTTTGTCATAAATTGATATACTTGAAAACAAGCGTTCACTTCGTGAGAGTTATAGAAATTTCAGATAAAAAGAGATCTATTCTCGAGATATTGTATAGTTATTTTATATAAGTTTCCTATGTTCTTTAGTGTTTCACAAATATATGAAAATTCCTTCTTTTTCGGAATGTAAAAATACCTCTTTGAAATGCAATCATGACTTTTAGAAGATCCGACGCATATATATAATGATTGATTCCTTAACATACGAGACACCATTTATTGAAACTTTGTATAAATCTATAGGTTTGAAAAGCACAGATGACTTTGTTGATTACTTCTACAATCGATGTAATATATCGATTTTCTTTCATGGTCAAGAAAAAAATTCACCTTTTTTATTTGGCTTTCTTCAAGTACGATTTCACGCTAAGCTCGAAGGGACGGTTGCAATGTGAAACAAGTCAATCAAATACAGCATGACTGACAATGTGCTTCCGTTCGTCTCTGATACGTGATTGATCAATAAATAACCAAGACATAAATGTTCAAGTATATACGTAAAACGACAAATTTTTGATTACATCAAAAAATTCAACAAAACTAAGTCAAACTTCA